TTGAGAATTATTTGCTGGAAGTAAGGACACGTCAGAGCCGGTATCGACCAAGAATGAAAGGTTTGTTCTTCTACGGTCACGAACGAACAGGCGACGTGAAACTTGAGGCAAAGAATAAGTCGCCTCTATTCTTTGCTGGTTTCGTTTCCCTGCCATGAACAAGGTTTTGTACATTTGTCTTCTCTACACTTTTTCCCAAAACGTCTATGATACCAGCAAACAGAATAATCTCTCCTTTTCTCATTTTTTTTTTAATCTTTCTTTCCTTATTGCGATCTCCGCGATTTGGCGAGCGACCACGAGAAAGAGAAATGCGATCAATACGTTTGTTTAATTTTTCTATTTGTTTAAATAATTTATCCTCAAGAGACTGATCGACTGTGCGAGAAACGGCACAAGTCCCTGGGGTTGGATTTACTTCTAAAATTCTGTCGGCAATTTCTGCAGCTTTATCTACAGTTAAATTGGAAACCGCTGCCAAAATAGACTGAACAGTCGAAGGCAAACGTTGAAGGAATAATTCTAACATTAAGTTATCAGGAACATTTAAAGATTCTGCTCGACGTTTCATATTTCTAAGCAAATCGGAAGGTTTTCGAGAACCTAATTCTTCTCCAGATAATAATTGGCGAATTTCTTGCTGAGAAGATTCTCCTGAACGATTTATTAACTCAGTTTTTTAAGCTTTGCATATGGATCAATAGGGTCTGGTTTCATAAGTAAATCCCGTACTAGTGATGCGATATCTGGAGGAAGATGAGAAACTACATAATTATATTTAGTAATGGATTCTGTGATAGGTTTGGGGGTGGCAAGAGCAAAAGTACTTTCACACATAATAAACCATAAAGATGGGTCTGATCGGTTATAAACCGGAATTTGGACGGCATGAACATCAGACATTGTGCAAGGTTTTTAAGCCAAAATAAAAGCAAAAATTTAACTAAAGAAAATGAAATTAAATGATAAGTAGAAAACAGAATTATAAAATGATCTATAATTACTACTCATCTGTGATCCGGAGGACGAAAACCGATGTAATCCATTACTTCTGGTTTGGAGATCTTGAGTGATGGCTTGTAGTCAAAACCGAAAGTGCTTGAGAACTGTTCATACGATTTAACACAGTCCAGGTTACCATTATGGTGATTTCCGGTTATGTTTTTACCACCAATCCTCGAATTCCATATCACAGATTATGTTCTTACTGCATTAATATAAATATTAACAAGACATAGTGCACAATAAAAATTAAGCTTTATTTAGGAACTTCGCGCACACTCCCCGACAGCCTGCCTGTTTCGCTCTGCTCGCTACTCGTAAGAAAAACTTCTCCTCTAGGGTTGCCACACTTATCGGAGGGCGCAAGGCGCGCTCCTTATCGCCATCACCACAATACCCTTTAGATCATAATTGTTCTTTATAAATTACGGTTTGATATTTCTAATTTTAAAATTTCTGCATGCCATCTTACGCGATTTAAACTGATGATCTATAATCCGGAAAAATCGATAATCCGGAATCGCCGAAGTCCCGCCGAGTCCGGATTAACGACTTTTGACTGTAGTAGCATTTTGAGTTAAGCTTTCATTAATAACAGAACCGTTTTCCTTTTCAGCTAGAAGCGAAACTAATTTGCTTTCTACCATTCTCCACTTATCAATATAGCATTCTGACTCATCAAACTTATTATTTATCACAATTTCATCTTTTTCAATTTTAATCAATTCTTCTCTATAAGTCTGTTCTATTTCAATCATAGGTTTCGCTTTGTCCTCAACTAATTTAAGTTTCGAAATTTTTCTGTCTTAAGATAAATCATTTTCATTCTTCTCAAAATCATTTAAAGCTTTTGTAAACAATCTCCTAAATTGAGATCATTTGCACTTAAAAATATCCATTATAAATAAACGAAAGAATTCTACTTACAGATAACGGTCCAGTCAGCGGACACCAAATGTTCAAAAAATTCTCACCAAATTTGTTACCTCGAGAACTAGAGAACTATTTATTACTACTCGGAAATAAGCTATCTATATCTCTTTAGTTATTTAAAACTCTACAATAATTAAATAGTTCTTTTATTCATACTCTCAAATGATGAAAACAAAAGTTACACTAAGTTAAACAAAGTTAACTCTCTAAAAAGAAGAACAACATAGTAGTATATTGCCATTCTCTGAAACATAAACTGTTACAAAACATAGATAATAATAATATGAATAGATAATGAATAAAAAAAAACCTATAGAGTAAAGAAAACGATTACATCTGCTTGAAGCTCGTGCAATATTACTCAGAAGCTGCAGTTAGAAAAAAATATTAGAGTCAAAATATTGTTCAGGGATATTTAATTCAAAATTTGCAATTTTTGATGTCATTTTCAACCTGCTTTGAAGGATCGGGTAATTAAGTTGAAATTATTCGATGAAACAACTTTAAATGATATGCAGCAAAAAGTGTGTATTATTTAATAGGCGATTATAAGGAAGTAATGTGTGTCCATATCAGATTTTTAGCTACTAAATCCTGATCTGATAAAAATCATTATCAAAATGTTGGCTCCTGGAAACCTCGATATTTTTTGGGGGGAGGGTTAGCACTGTAAATTTATTGGGAGAGAGGGCTCAAGATTTTTTTTTTTTTTCATAGGGGCCCTACAGTTCTAGTGCCGCCACTGCCCGTTATATCTCCTATCTCGCGCTGAACAACAACTCGGAACATCAATAGCTACAAACTGAGAGCACATGCTCTGTCCATCCTTATATAATTTTCAACAAGCCACCGAGATATTTCTAGTACTCCTGCTTCTCGAAATTACTGGAAAGCAATATGAGGGTTGAATTATGGTTGAAGCTAATATAGTAATCAATTACATTTATTCAATTACAATACCTATTGTAGTGATACCAGTATTGGACTAAAATGTCACCAACTGGTCACCAAGTTTGACAACCTTTGGCGATTTATTACCAAATTTGGTGACAAAACAAGTCAACAAATTACCAAGGTACCCATTTACTTAATGTTAAATGAACTTGCCCCTGTATTCTTTCTTTCCTGGCATAGCTTATTTCTTTTAGATTTTTCCTACATTACATTGCACATTATAAAACAGTTTCTTTTATAATTGCACTAAAATCATCTATCTATGTACAAAGTTCGTAACGATATGTTCATCGTTAGAACTGCCAATCATTTGAAGATGGTTTGCTTTAACAATTTATGAATAATTTTAATGTCATTAACAAATTGGGCACTTTAATTATAAGAAAGTACCAGAAAAGTATTATTTACTAGCTTGCATAGAGGAAGACTGTATCTAATAATATGTACAAATTAAGTTTGAATGCTCTTAATATCAGTAATTTTAAAAAAAAAATTAGGTCAACTTTTTAGTTTTGCTTTATGCAGATCTCTATTATTCTAATTAATTTTCATATTGCATCATAATTTTTATTAATACTTGTGTAGTAATTTTGTCTTTGGAGAAATTAAGAATTTCATATTAAAATTTTCGGTAAATTCATCGGTCCTTGTGCAAAGCATTTATCCAGATATTGGCTCTTTCGAATGGCAAAGCATTTCATCAGTGCATCTGTAATATCCCAATGCTCCATCTTTCTAAATTTTTCCCATGAGTTTTAGAGTTTTAGTTTTTTTTTAATATGGTGCTACTTGTATTTTTCAATAAACTATTTCTAGAAGATTTCAATTTACCTATTTTTGTTTTATATTTGTTGAGTAACGTTCCAATTTGATGTTAATGCAAAAGTTGTACATTTATAGCTCTCTATGTATGTAGTTGAATTTTCGACAATAAATCAAAGTTTGATTAAGGAACGCATGAAGATTTTACTCTTCTAGAAAGTAAGGAAAAGAAAGATAACTTTGTCATCTGTGTGTCATATCCAGTGTTCAGTCAGAACACAATCTTTTCTACCAAAATATGTATGATTGCATCTCAACGATTCAATAACTGTTACAAATAATTCTTGTCTTGCAAAATGCTACCGAGGAAAGAACTTGGAAAGCATTTATACTCAAATACAATAAATTGATAAGGTTCAAAATTTTTTATTTACTGAAAGAAGAATCAGCTGTAAATCCACAAGCCATATATGGAAAATTAGCTCTGGAATTTTGTGCCCTTTCTATTGAAATATTTTTAAAAAATAAAATTTATAAGTGCACAGTTGAATGTATGCTTTTTTATCTGCATTATATTTAATGTACAGAAAGATCTATGTAAGCAAAGCCATAGCTGCAGAGTCCTGGTTTTTTTTTTTTTTTTTTTTTTTTTTTGTCTATCTTCCAGTTTTTGATTTTTAGCCTTTACTGAGGAAAATATGTCCTAGCAATAAATTAAATTCATTGCGTTAATGAAACTTTAATTGTGTAAATTCCCTTCTTCCAGCCCTAGTGATTTTCAGCATAATTTTTCATATTAAATTTTGTTTGATGTGTATTGATTGAAATTACTGTAGACATTGTTGCTACAGTAATTTCAATCAATACATAATAAATAAAAAATTTTAAGGATCAGAATCCTTGAAGGATTTTCTTTCATAAAAGTGTAAGAAAATTACAAATGAAACTAACTAAAGAACATAAAATTTAAAATATCAGAATCATAAATAGTTATATAACTTGAATCACACATTATAAGACAGATTTTAATCAAGTTGGAGTTTTTTTAAAATGGTGTTGCCGTATACTTTGAAAGCCTTCTGGAAACTCCTGTTATTTCATAGTTCAAGGTTATCATATATGCAAATGTAACCCATCAGCTTCTTAATATAAAAGCAAGACAGAATTTAAGCATATGTTTATTTTGAATATAATTCATAGAGTAAAAATGGTTCTGAGAAGAGTTGAAAAAATATTAACTTAAATCTGACTGAGTGAAAGTCAATGTATATTATTATTAAATCAAAAAACTGAATTTCATATAAAATTTAATTTTTTTTTTTTTTTTTTTTTTTTTTTTTTTTTTGTAGATTTGAACAATGGAACAGAAAGATGGTGAAAGTGTGGCATCTGCCAATGAGGGTTTGGATGATTTGCTGGACAGCTGTTTAAATGATTTCAACAAGCCACTTCCAAAGACAGCTCACTCATCTAAATCTGAAGCTGAAGAAGAAAAAACATCAAGTACTGCTGCAAAACCATCAGAAGATACAGCATGGAGTGAAGAATTTAAACAATTCAGTGATGTGATGGAAACCTTTTTAGAAGAGGGATCTGAACTCAATGAACTGAAGAATTTAATGGGAAACCTTGCACAAGGAGGGCCATTGAATGTTGATGATAATTTTGTGGAGTCTTTTGCAGAAACTATCCGGGGACTTACTGAAGGAGCTCAAAATATTCCTGAGCCTACACCAGAAGACTTAGCAAATTTGTTTACTGGATTGGATGTAGATGGTTCTGGCCTTTCTGATCCTGAGCAAGTTTCTGAATTAATGCCATTAATGCATAACGTTATGCAAAAACTAATGTCTAAGGAACTACTTTACCCATCCTTAAAGGAAATTGTAGATAAATATCCACAGTGGCTTAATGAGAAGCATGCTACTTTAAAAGAGGAAAATTATAATTTATACAAAAAGCAGTATGATCTTATGAAAACTGTCTGTGATGAATTTGAAAAGAATATTGATGATTCAGAAGATGCAAAAAAGAAACAATTTGGAAAAGTTTTGCAGCTTATGCAGGAAATTCAGAGCTGTGGAAATCCACCAAAAGAGCTTGTATCAGATATTGGACAAGGAATGCCTCTAGATGAACATGGTAATATACAGCTACCTGGGATGACTGAACAATGTGCAGTAATGTAGCATATCTTAATTACTGTAGCATATGATTTCATTTATGTAAAAATTTATGTAAAATATTTATATAACTCCTTTATATTCCAAATATGTATGATTTTGGTATGTTTATTATAAGGGCATTGTAAAAATATATGAGATTTTAATTAAATTTGTATTTTATTTCTTATGTGATTTTGCAGTAAACTTCATTAGTTTGTAAAAATTTGTTCTCATTTCAAATCCTTTGTTTAATCTACTTCTGTCGTTTAGATTTTTTGGGGTGGGATAGGAACAATGAATAAATGCCTTTAATTGCTTATTAAAATTTAAAGTATTTAAATTAATTTAATTGTTCGATTTTATTTGCATGTTTTTCCAATACATATCGAAAGTATAAAATACAACATTTTAAGAAAATTGCATTTTGAATACTTCCAATTACAGGTTTTGTTTAGGAAATTTTGCCATTATATAAATAAACACTACCTACTAGTAAAATTTTGCTGTTAAACAACATTAAAGTTCATTTTTAAAAAAATTCCCATTTTAAAAGCTCCAGAATTTGTTTTGTTTCTTTTTATACAAATGCAGAGGCATAGCTAGGGTTTTCAGCACCCGGGAACAACTGAAGATCTTGCGCCCCTTTCTGTGTGCCAAGAATGAAAAATGTTTCATTCTAAAATTTGATAATATCAGTTTGGCACGCCTAAATGCTGCCCTCCGGGAACAGATGTCCCACCCTAGCTATGCAGCTGTACAAATGTTATAAATAAAATACTATTAAAAAGTACATTATCATTTGAGTAAAAAAAAATAGAATTATAATATATTATTACAAAATTTCATTATGATATTTTGATGATGTATGCAAAAATTAGAAATTCTACCACCTACATATTATTTTATGGTAAAAAATATCTTGCTGAATGTTGTTAAGAACTGAGAAAATTATTTTTTAATGATTCAGTTTGTTATGCTGATAAATGCATGTTTTAAAATATGGGAAACAATTTAAAATTCTTTGGCCTTCTTGATGGGCCATTACTTGCAACCCTCATTTATTTGTTATGAACAAAAACTTCCAAGGAAAAAATAAATCCTTGTAAGAATAGTCTAACATAATAGGTCTCTGTTAAATATTACTAAAACAGACAAGTATTTTCCATGTAATTATCCTCATTAATTTTATTAACACTCTGGAATTTAGATAACTAGTATTTACTTTCATAAGTGCACTTTCAAAAATGCCTAATATTCCATTAGTGGTTGCACAAAATAGTTTATACTGTAAGTACTTTTGTAATATTTATTCATATTTTTTAGTGTATTTCCATTATCAGTTAAAATATGTACATTATTTGGTTAGATGGTTTTTCATTCATATGTGCATACCTGCCAACTTTTACGAATTTTTCGTAATTTTTACGAAAATGCATTTGTCTTTACGATTTTACGATTTTTTTCCTTTTTCAAGTGTTTTTAGTGATTTTTGTCGAAAATTTAGAATTTTTCGCCAATTGCATCGTGTTTTACCGACTACTTCGAATCCAGTAACCTGCGGTTTCTCCCAACTTGCCGCTTAAGCAGCCAATCCAATGCGCTGAACTTGTTTCTCCTACTCTTTTCTTTGTGGGCGCCAGATTATTTTTTTCGCGTTCGCTTCAGCAGCAAGGGAATTACTCAGCGAGCGTGGATTGTCGCATTCCGTTTTTTTTTTTTTTTTTTTTTTTTCCACGTGCTACGAATTTTCTTAATACGTCGTTGTTACGAAATGAGTTCAAAAAAAAAAAAGTATTCTCAATATTTTCGGCATGCCTACAAAGCCGAATTTCCAACAATTAAAGAATCCTTCAAAGGAAATAACCGTGCAGCATGTTAAGTCTAAAAAGAATGAAGTTAATGCTTCGGCTTCGACAACGTCAAAGAAAGTGGATGATTTTTTTTCAAATTCGGCTACGAATTCGATGCCGATGTCATTTTGGCATTGTTTACTGCATTCCTCATCGAACACAACGTGCCGCTAAGCGCTGTTCTGGAGAAGATAGACTTGATGTCCTCCTTGGTACCTTAAAAAGAATAAAAAGAGCTGATGGAACACCAAAATATGATAGACTAGCAAGAGTTTTATGTGCTATTCTCGTAATTCCACACAGTAATGCTGAGTGCGAGAGAGTCTTCAGTGTTGTAAAGAAAAACAAAACTATATTTCGTTCTTCAATTTCACCAAAAAATCTAGAAAACATTTTAATTGCGGTTTAATCCTAGTATCCGGTGCACACGGGATTTGGCTACTTTATGATGAGCAGTAAAAACGCGACATATACTATGAGTAGTAAACGGGTCATTCAAAGAATATATATAGTTATACATAGTATATACTATGTTTATATACACACATAGTATATAGTATATATATAGACGTTCTTTGGATCATTTTTGGTGTTGGCGATAATTTTCAAAATCGCGCCAAGGCTGCACCGTATACTAGGATTTTACTAATTATTATGACAGGAAATTTTCCAAAGAATCTTTCTTAGAATGCAAATAGGTTTGTCAACGTCTGGCAACAATTCATGAACTTTTCACGCAAAGCATTTACGACTCATTTCAGATACAACATTTTGAGAAGTGTTTCATCTACCTTTTTCAGTATCATTCAGAAGAAGAAAATGATGTTGTCATGTTTAATTTCATTAGGCCTGATGCAGAATAAAATACTGGAACTGCTGGTTTTTAATAAGTCTAAAATACTGAAACTGCTGATTTTTCCTACATCTGTTATAAGAAGAAATTATTTCAATGATATCCTAGAACTGCAGTTATCGTAGGGTACATATTAATTTCTCAACAGCGTTGGTTATTTCATAAACGGAAATGAGAATATTGCTTTTTCCATTCTCACTTTGGATATTCTAAATTGCACTAATGTATACAGCATTGAATTATGTCCATTTTAAGGTAAATTTGTGGAACATCATTTCTTATAAGTTTCCAAACATCTTTTCAGAAACGGACTTTCTTACAAGATTTAGATGATGAAGATATATTTAGTGATCATCAGTCTGAATTCGAAAAACAGTGCGACTCTTCAGAAGACATTCTTGTGATCAAAGTGACTATTTTAGAGGAAAAGATAAAACAACAAAATGGAAGAAAGAACCCTTTCGAATTCAAAAATGCATGGTGTCCCATAATATCATAAAAAAATTGTCTGGCAATACACATATATCTAAAGATGTGGCTTCACCCATCGATGCATGGAAGCTAATATTTGATGACACAATGATTGAAATGATTGTGAAATGCTTTAATATTTATGTAAAAAATATTTCAGGAAATTTTAAAGAGATGCAAAACCTATGGAGAAAGAAGTGTTCCTTGCTTTTTTAGGACTTATGTAAATCCCATTCCCATTATCTATCCTCCCATGTAAATGTTAGAGAATTATGGGTGACTGATGGAACAGGATTAAATATTTTACTTAAAACAATGAACTATAAGCGTTTTCTTTTCATTCGTGCCTTATGATTTGATGATGTCGGAACACGAGATGGCAGAAGAAAGAGTGATAAATTAGTTCCAATAACAGATTTGTTTGAAAATTTTGTCAGAAATTATATCATGTAGGGGAATACATGACTTTGGACGAAAAGCTAGAACCTTTTCAAGGAAGATGCACCTTTATTAAGTATATGCCTAAGAAACCTGTAAAATATGGTATAAAGATATTTACTGTGGTTGATTTTAGAACTTTCTATACTTTCAACATGGAAATTTACTCAGGTCAGTAGCCAGATGGGCCATACAAGAAAGTCAACAGGTCTTGTGAAAAAGCAAAGCGTATCCTAACTCCATTATACAATTCAGGAAGAAACGTTACCACAGACAGTTGGTATACCAGTTTATAAATTGCCATATTTCTTACAGGAAAATAAAATTTCTATCGTTGGAACAATATGCATGGATGAGAAGATTATCCCACCTGAATTTGTGTCGAATAAGAATAGAGAACAGCATTCAACCCTCTTCGATAACCAAAAGGATATAATGCTACTTCTTATATGGCTAAAAAGAACAAATGTGTCAACCTTTGTCAACTATGCACAATGATGACCATATTGATGAAAGCACGGGAGATTTGAAAAAATCTGAAATAATTACGTTTTATAACATGACAAATTTTATTGAGATTATGGCAAAGTACACTAGGGCTATCTGCCTAAAGGGAGGGATGCCTTTGTGGAGGACGTTTTAAGGGAAACTGTCTTGTATACACGTTACACATGGGGAAAACCACGAAAACGCCCATGTAGCCAGCCTGTTCGCGGGATTTGAACTTCGGACCGAACTACCAGTGTTCAGCGACTTTACCACTCAGCTGCTGGTGGACCCCATGAAAAAAGGAGCAGTTGATATAGTCGACGAAATGGGTGGCACTTACTCTGTGGCCAGAGTATCAAACCGATGGCCTATGGGCATATTTTTTTTGTTATTAAATATTGCCAGCATAAATTCAAAGATCTTGCTTTTATCTACTAAAACTCCACCAGAGAAATTCAGGAATAGGAGGCACTTCTGATTTGGCCTTTGCAATTTTAGATACTCATTTAAAATCACGACAGAAACAGAAGGAAAACAACGAAGATTCTCTTGAAGATTCACAAACAAAGAAAAGAAAATTATGTTACCGGAGATGTTACATGTGCTCAAGAGAAAAAGACAGAAAATCAAAAACTGTATGTGTGGAGTGTAAAAAAAAATATACTATGTCAAGAACACTGTGAAATAGAAGCGTCATTCAAACTACAAAATATCTATAATTCTTCTTCATCTTAATTGATTTGAAAATTAATTATATAACTCATTGTCCATGTAATAATTCTGCATAATTTGGATTATAATTGCATTCAAAAATAAAAAACACAAATTTCTCATAGAAATCAATGATTCCTAGTCATATGAAATAAGTACTTTTGATTTATTTGTCATTAATTTTAAGTAATTGTAACCTTATTTTTAAGTAATTTTATATAATAAATGTTATAATTAATATAGAATGTATTATTTTACATTATTACATTTGTACGTCATTTAATTGCGACGTGCGTTCTCGTGTTACATAATAACACAGCGCGCGTCCTCCCGGGTTTACTATACACCGCTAAATGCCATGGTTAACCTATTTATTTTACTTCTATATGTTATATATCTTATAACTTGACT